AAAAAAAAATAAAAGAAAATCAACAAGAAAAACACACACAGACACATGGAAAAACAATTTTTCATTTATTTTTCTTAAATGTTCGTTGTTTTTCTGCATGTTCAACAATTTTTTCTTCAACTCGTAAACCTTTACGTCGACGAACATCATTCATATATTTTTTAGCACGATTTTCAAAGTCAGCTTTTTCACCAAAATGTAAAAATTCTTCTTCTGTGTGTGGTTCCCAAAATGGATCAAGTTCAATAATTTCCCAATATGTTTTACCAGATAATTGTGGTGATGCTAAACCACTTGCTTTTGTACGCATTTCTTCAACAAAACCAAAACTTTCAGCAACTGGTAAAGCAGCTGTAATAATAAATGTACTCGTGCCTTCTTTCATATCTTCATTTAATACACGTCCATTTCGTTTACTTAAAACTGCATAAGCTCGACCTATTTAAAGGAATGAATAAATACAAAAAAAAAGAAAACAAAAACTTTTATTTTGTTTTTCTCTCATTTACCCAATGCTTCTGCATTAACCATAACTTCACATTTGTACATAGCTGCAACAAGTCGTCTTGGTTGTGAATCAAATGCTTTTCGACAACCATCACGCATAGTTGATACTATTTGACCAGAAAGTGGTCCACGTTTAATTACAATTTTTGATTTATCAACAACACGACGAGGTTTTTGTTCAGTATTTAATGCTGATGATTCATCACTTGTAATACTCATTGTTTCTACTAAACTTTCTACTTCTTCGACACCAGTTGTTGTTGTTATTGTTGTTGGAAGATCATAATTATTAATTTCAGATGTATTTTGTTGTTCATCATTATTTTCATCATTAACAATTGTATTGATTGTCCATCGTTCAATAATAAATGCAACACCCATTAAAGGTTCTTCACATAATGAACCTCTAGCTGTTACTAATTGAAATCCATTAATAATACTTATATCATAATCATCTTTTGTTAATGGTGAATTTAGATTTGCTTTCATTTGATTATTTAATACAATTGTCCAAACTGATGAGGTACGTTGTTTATAAATACTATTTGGAATACGATTAAGTAAAAGATTAGATCCACATTTATGTGGACCAAATGACCATATTTCATCAATAGTATTTGAATTCCACATATTTCCATTAGCATTAATAAATTCTTCATTTAAACGTTCTCGTAATTGTCGAATTTGATCAAGTGTTTGATCATTCAATGGTGCAGTTACTTTTCTATCATCACGTCCCTGAGCTTGTTCAATAATTGCAAGTAATGAAGAATTTTCATCAAGTAAACGAGTGATTGAATCAGGTAATGGTACTGCTCGAACTTGAAATGTACATTGACGATTTTGAGTACTTAATTCAACTAAACCATCCTCTAAATACAATACAAAAGCCAAACAAAATATAATATTGATCTTATTTTTATTTCGTATATGAACATACCTAATAGCCATGGTGGTCGTTCTTTCGTTTGTTTATTTGATTTGAATTGTTGTTGTTGATTTGCTAATGATTCATTGAGAAAATCAACTTTAGGTGGTGGTATAATTGTTTCACGAAATGGAATAATCGGTGCTGATACATTAATTTCAATACGAGCATATCTAAATAAATAAATATTAAAAAAAAAAATAATTCTATTATTTGTTTTTATTATAAAATAATTTCTACATTTTAGTAAGATCATCGATACATCGTTGTAAATGTACTTCACCAGCTGTTGAAAGAATATATTCACCAGTACTTTTTAATGTACATTCGACCAATGGATCCGCTTGATTTAATAAACGCATACTATGTCGAAGTTGTTTCATTTGAGCTTTAAAAACGAAAAGTTTATTTGATGAGTAAAAAGAAAAAAAGAAAGATCTTTTTACCGGGATTTTTTGGTTCAATTGCTACACGAACAATAGGTGAAGCTTCAAATTGAAGACCAGTAAATGATGGACAAAATATATTTGTTGATAACGTTGCTGATTTTAAAACAAAAGAATCTAATTGTGCGATAGCTAAATTTAAAAAAAAAGAAAGAATTTGATCAATTTGATATTTCATTAATTATAAATAACCATACCAACTATATTGCCGGCAGGTACTTGATCAAGTAGAGTAAATTCACGACCCATCATTAAATATAGATCTTGAACAATATACTCTTGTACATTATGAGAAATACTATAAGCAGAAACTTGACTGAGATCCTAAATGAACGAAAGAAAACAAAAAAAAAGAAATCAATCTATCACATTAAAATTTTTGTTGAATTCTTCAAATATTATTTCTATCAGATACATAATAATTCTAAGAATAAAAATAACAAAAATTTCTTGGGACTTTTTCTACAGATAAAATAAATAATTAAAAAGAGAAACTTTTATAATAAATAGTAGGGTTATTTCACAGTATATATGACTCGTTTACAGTGAGTTCCTCCAAATCGACTTT